CAGTTCAGTATTAAAATAAGCACGTTAATGAGCAAGATGCTTCTCTGCAAAACAGGTTTTGGCCAGATTATTTCTCAAGTGGTTTCGGTGTACAATAATATTCAACCCAGTATAAGCTTAAGCAACATTGCACCTCCTTGAATTATTCACCTCCTGCCACTTAACAGCTTCGTGAAAACCGAAATTCTGCCAAAATCGGCTCAAATGAAGCTCCATCATTCAGACATAATACTAATGCTACTTATTTATTGACGGTAATCCGTTACTCCACGACCAACTTCCTAGAGCTCTGTTCCAGAGAGATTTCTATCGAGACGAGGATGCAATTAAATTTGGCAAATTGCAACAGTATCCATTATGTGCAGGCATAACTTTGCCTTTGATTTAAGTGAGAAGAGAGGTCTTCCTTGAATGGGTAGCCCTCGAGCTTCAAATAAGGCCTGCTGAAGTGGTCATGTTTCGCAGACTGCCCAGTGTCGGATGATCTCCCCCTGCCTCTTGGGCCGGTTAATTTTGATAGTGTTAGGGGAAAGTGGTGGGATTAAGGCGGGTCAGTTTATGCTGGTTGATGTCAAGAGCTTTCAAGAAAGGGTATGACCGCAGCTGTGTTCAGCGTCTTGGCAACTTCACATGCGTCTAGTGTAAAGTTGCAAATAATATGCGATATTGCATTCAAAAGTGAATCCCATTATTTCGATTAATACACTCGATTCGAGATACTATGTATTTTTGAAGCAATAGAATTTAAATCTTCATTCATAAAAGATGCAACACTGTTACTGGAAAACACACCTTCAGATTGACTTATTCCAGAATCAATTTTATTACATCACGAAAGATATTCTTCCAGGTACATAACATTGCACTTAAATAAAAGACCACTTTCATATTTATTTATTACCAAAATAGGTATATTTTTTGTTAATGGCAAAGTCAAAGTTCAATCAACAAAGTTTGAATGGAAACAAGAAAAAATGAATCCAAGTGCTGTTCAGTTCATGTTGTGTCACAATATTTTTACCCTATAGCGCTTTTGGAAAAACATTATGATAGCATAGCAACAACTTTGTTAGTGAATGCGAATTTTTCTTCCAACTACTCACATTTACACACACTGCCCTAAGAAGATAACATAAAAACGTTTTCTCATCCATAAGGCTAATGGGGGCTCGTGCTTAACGGCAAAATAGCTATCCCCCTTGTCGTGGTCAATACGCCGTGAAAAACTCGAGTGCTGGCCGCAAATAATCTTCATCAGATGTAGGTACTTAAGAGCCTTTACGACCGACGTACAAGCGAGTAGTGTAATCGTGTACTGTGTAAAGGTGTATTAGAAGAAGGCATTGTTTATCGTTCTTGTTACTTACGACCATTAAATCCTACTCATATAAATGCGAAAGGTTGTTTGTTATACTTTCACGGAAAAACTACAGAACAACATTTTAATGATACTTTACAGCATTGTTTATAACATAAAGGCTAAAAACGAAACTGAATTTCACGCGGGCGAAGCCGCGGGCAAATATTGGTATTTTTCTAATGATTGAATACTTAGACTGAGTTGCACCAACTTACTTTGACAGTAACTTTAACAATAACCGGTATTTTTTGTATGGAGTTTGACAGATTGTTGATGTTTGTTAAAGTCAAAATAAGATGGTGCAACCCAGCCTTAGTAGTAGGTATCAGTTTTTAAGTCTCCAACCGTTAGCATTTTTTTCGTCCTCCAACCTGTGGTGAGAAAATTAATCAAAAATACAGACTGACTGCGATATGAGTTTAGTTCCATTTTTTCAAGTCCCATCCCACGGGATCCAAAAAACAAAACACTATCACAAGCATTCCAAAAAGTATTTACGAACATATTTAAAAACAGGTACGCTGGCTGTCAGTTGTTTTCTTTTAAAAACAAAAGCCATCTCCACAATCCTCTTACGTCAGAGCCTCTATGGTCAATGCGCCGTAAACGCAAGGCGCTCCACCATCAGGCCGTGGCGCCCTCTACTTAGGACGTCTTAGGCGGGGTCATTAGAGGGACGCTTCCCTTGTTTATCTACCGGTAGGGATGTGAGGGATTTTTAATCGGTGATGTATGATTATCTTCAGTCGTAAAGTGTTAGGTTGGTTGAAGATGTTTTGGGATAATATAAATGAGTACCCAAAGGTTTAAAATTGCATACTTTTTCTATCGTGTGGATTGTTACAGCTCCATTTTCAGACTAAATAAACGAATGAACTACTTATCTTAAGTAAAGCGAGAAGGTATTTGTAGTAAGAATTTAGTAAAAATGCAACATGAAGGTTTAAAATATTTTATTCGTAAAAATTTTTAAAACATTAATTCGTATTTTTTTTGGATTATATGAAACTGGAAAAAAGTTCACAGAATACCCACAGTTTTTAGGTATTACATCACGCCGTCAAAAATAAAATTTCTCTGTGAATAAAACATTTCGGCGATTCAATTTGAAACGTTTTTAAAAATATAACGCTGGAAATATTTTAAAAAGCATTTTTAAGAACAGTATTGAATCTGGCAATAAAATTAAATTGGGTACATAGGGGTTGTAGATTATAGGGTTCTGTAAATCTCGTAACTTAATAACTTAATTTTATTTTTGAATGGAATAAATATGCGATGTAGGTACCATGTCCCAACAATATTTGTCTTTTATTGATTTATTTTTACCAGTGACTCAAAGTTGTTGAATATACATTTTCTAACGTATATTCAACAACTTTGAGATAACGATTTTATGGACAATATCATAAATTTTAAAATATAGTAAAAAGTATTGCCATTGCCACAGCCATATATGGCTGTGTTGCACCATTTTACTTTAACTTTGACAAACGTCAATAATCTGTCAAACTCCATACAAAAAACACCGGTTATCGTTAAAGTAACGTTACGGTGTAACTCAGCCTAAGTGTTCGAAATAATTTTTCATGTATTTTTGCTTGTAAATAAGGTTTGCCGATATAAAACAGATGGTGCTGTCACGAGTATACATCGTATATAATAACTAGTCGTCAAAAGGTCAAATTTACCCACGGGCCCCTAAAACGAGCACTCACAGAAAAATCAAATTAAGTTCTTGTCCCTTACAGTTACACATGTGACAATGGGCTAATCTAGTTGTGAAAATTAAATCCCGTTAAAAGTTCCCGTAATCCCGTTCGCCGTCCGTGTGAAATTGCCCCTAGCTCCTCTTTGCTTTAGCAATTGAGAATGTTTCTAAAATGAAACTCAAAAGGAGAGCTCGCTTTGGCAAATTTTAACGTTTGTGCTCCAGTTTTTTGTGAAGAGTAATAATAGTAATAATGTGAAAAACTAGGTTTGTGAATTACGCCCGTATTCACAAATATTATTATGAGGTCTCACAGTGCGCGTGGACGCACAGGATACTACGCTACTTACTTACATACTACGTATATTGTGCCTCGTAAAAAGGCTTAAGGTCACCCAAAGGGCGATTGAGAGTGCGATATGCTCGAAGTTTCTCCATTCAGTAGTACCTACCTAAAAAGAAAACAGCTGAATAATAAGTAATCATTAAACTCGTCCTTATTATAGTAACTTTTTTCAAGCATTCAGTAGGTCTAAGATGCACCATTGTATCTATTTTTCGCGATAAGCCCATACGTTTGTCGTCTAAAATAATCGAAAATTTTATCATGGCGCGCAATTATTCTTTACCAGAACGTTGTCGGCAATTCACGCGCTCACGAGAGCTAACGACTCCATTCAATTGTTGTTTACTCAACGAAATCCAAAGCTTATTGAAATACTTTCATAAGAATCCCAATTATACGGTCTCTATATTCGAGAATTCGTAAAAGATTTAAGAGCATAATAGGAGTCAGTTCTTCAATGGAGAACCGAGATGGCTCGTTAACGTTGCTTAAGCGAGTCGTGTACGTTTTTTGGCTCATAATGCGTATTTATTTTCGGATTCTTTCGCATTTCACTCTTTAACAATGTTCTATGGTAACATGTACATACAGATTATCGATTTATGTCGTCCTCAACCCCGTGATGAGATGACAATCAGCTATTTTGGAATTTTGTGAGATTTTAGTATTTTGAGAAAGATATATCACACAAAGGTACATGAATATTGAGTTATGATAGAACTATGGATTGCCGCTAGGCAATAACAAGTCGGAATATGTACTCGAGCTTAAAATAGGTAGGTAATCATTGATTGTCCTTTCTCTACGTATGTTAAAAATAGTTTTAAGTACCTACAGCACTCTTTAAAATCTCGCAGCTTTCAAAGCGAAGGTACCTAACCTACAGCAGTATTTATTTATGATCGCCATCGCACCATGCTTTGCCTAATTCAGGGTTGAGTAATAAGAAAAATATGAGCGAATTTAATAATTTAAAAAGACAATAGCTCCAAAACATTACCCAAACAAAATCTACAAAAACTAGTCAAGAACAGAAGATCCACGCACAAGACACCAAAAAAACCTCGACTTCCAGACTGCAGCTGATTTTAACTACAAACAACTTTACTATTTCGTTAAATAAGAATACGGGCGATTGTTCTTTGGAACAACGCAAATTGTTAAAGTTAGTGGAATACTTTTTCTACGTCTGCATGGCAGATGTCTGTGAGACGTGAATATCTTGCAGGGTGACATTTTAGTTCTTTTTGTTGCAAGACATGCATTCGCTTAATTGATTCTGTTTTTGTTTTTGTTTTGTTTACTTATATTTTTTCTAACTGAAAAATTTACTGTCAAAATTACGTTTTACAGACAAATACTCAAGTAAAATTCCAAGTAGTGTCTCTACTTGGAATTTTACCCAATCTACTCTGACGAAATAAAATTTAATTGTATTAAAATATTAATTTCTCCTTTTAAAAACACCACAGCGATTTTAATTTTCATTGTATTATGCATAGGTCTGCACTGCAAGTAAATTGAAAAGTAGTATACTCGTTGTAAATATGAAAATTTGCCGGAGCAAAAATAAAAAAATTAAATATTTTAAATTGACAACAATTTAATTGTGGGTTAGACACAAATATTTAAAAAGAAAAATTAAGGGATGGGTCGTTGGGCCGTTTGGTTGGTACTGATTAAAAATACTTAAGATTACTAGCGCGCTAGTCGCCACCACTCGGCTCAACCCCCTCCGCACCCGTCGGGCGCAGCAAGCGTCTGGCACTGCGGGACAGCCGGTGCCAAACACCTGATAGCCGGTGCCAACAGAGCAGCCGGTACCATACACCTCCTATTGTACAATAAAAAATTATATTATACAACAGCACAATACATTCATAATAGTAAAAACAATTTAAAAACAATAATCCATCGCTCTCGAGGATGGAGCAAATGTGAACACAGCAAAATCCAACGGTAATTCATTACAATGGTAAATCTATTTAGCAGGTAACATTTTGGTAAAATGTAATCATCGTAATTATTATATCATCTACCTTCACAAAGCGAACTAAAAATAGTTAACACAACAAAATCCATCGATAATACATCACAATGGTAAATTTATTTAGGAATTTACTTTTTGGTAAAATGTAATCATTATGTGGGTAATCTACTTTTTCAAAGTAAACTAAAATAATTGACAAGCTCAATAGAAAACGGAACCAACCTATGAAGTAGGGTAGCCCGTGACCGAGTGCCACGTTTCTAGTAATTCATCCTAACTCAGCGGAGAGGCGAATGAGTTTGAGAAAGAAACCACAACATACCTGCTATGGAGGCAACATCAGCAACATCAACAACAGACAGCAACAGCGCAGAGGCTCGCCACCGAGCACTGCCCAACCACACACAATCTGCGAATAACAACCAGGTGCATTGGTTAACAATGCCGCCAATGCAAACAACAAAATAACAAGAAGAAACTCAAGGTAATCCTTGGAATAGGACCTGCTTACCTTCAGTAACAGAACTCAGCACGTGGCAGTGAGTCCGCAAAATCGGCGAACAGCGGGATTTCGGTGTCCAACCGGAATTCCTTTATTTCAACAACAATAATCTGCGTGCCCTGCCCGTTTGAGTTGGGAATGGCACATTTAGGGCCGACTCAGAATGCCACAACACCACACACTAACGAACTTCCGTCCAAGCGCACGGCCGGTCGAGCAAAAAAAAAGGTCACTCCAAAAAGCGCCGGTCATCACCCGTGACTTGTGGTCCGAATCGAACCCAACAATAACAAACCATAAAAATGTTTCTTCGTTTTTATTTTTTATTTCTTTTTCTAATAAGTTCTATTTGAGTCAACCAGCCTCTTATTGAATAATCTTGATATGAGAACTCACAAAACTGCTCCTCCGATTTAAATTTAATTAATTTATTTAACTTTTAGAAACAGAAGAAACGTCACTCACAGTATTCGGACCGTCTCCCGCGCGTTTCGTTTCGCTCAGAATATGTCAAATTTCTAGAACGTTCCGAACCCATGATCGATCAAGATACATTACAATGTTATTTTAATATAAACATTGAGGAAAATACTAGAAATAGCTAGAATTTAAATTAAAGAGCCTAAATATTAAGTTTTATAAAAATTTAGTGTTGAATATTTAATTTCATTATACATTTCTTCTATACTAAAAGAATGGAACGTAACGCATTGATCTGTCAAACGGAGACATTCAAAAAGTGAGGTTATTTATTGCTCTGTGTACCAAAACAATGTAATTAATTTTAATAGAAGTTAATCAAAACTCAGTGAATCACTAACAATGACACAATCAAGTGACAAAGGAAACACTGCGCACTTTGTAATATGTGACCTTACGGTTCGTTGGAATGTTTGTTTGTGGAAATCGGTAAGTATTCAATCTCGCCAAAAAAAAAGTGTTACAGTACCCCCTCACCCACCAGAATTTTACGAGGATAACGAGAAAAATTCACGCTGGCCCTCCAGCATCATCCTATCATACAGAAACAGAACCACCACAATACACAACAAAAAAAACTAACACCTCAACAAAACTTCAATCTACTCTACATAATTTTTAAATCTCGGAGCTACACCACGAACATGCGTACTCCGCCAAACCACATCATCTTCCTCAAACTCGACATCTCTCCGACGCCTATTATACCAATCAGCATCTCGCAAGTGAGATTTCCTCAATTGCTTATCTACTTCAAACACTTGCCGTCGAGACCTGGGCAGTGGACCAACAAAACCAACGCTGACACACTGGAAGGGTCTACGACGAACCTTCGGGTGTTTAAAAACTTTACCAGCATCACCAGTCAACTTCCGAGACACGACTGCTTCAGCATGCCTAACCATCGAATCCCTCCGATTCATAAGTCGCAAAACATCAGGCGCTATCTGAAAAGCTTTCCAGAAGTTGATGCCAAACAACAAAGACGACGAAACTCCAGGAACCACATAAAACTTTATAACCTTCAACACCTCATTCACTACGACAGGTAAAAACATATATCCGACCGTAGGGGAAGTCGAACCATTCGCCGTTACCACAGCATCAGTAGAATCCGATTTATACAACTCACCCAGGTGAGAAAAATAATTCACAGCAGAACCACCAAGAATAGAAATTTCCGCTCCAGAATCTAACAATCCAGAACACGGAACACCACCAATTTCAACATTTAGATAAGGACGCGCATCCTGACAATCATCTGGTCGGACTGTCGCAACATTAGCTTTGCAATTTTTAGAAAATGCACGCACATAATCACACCAAGCACGCCACTCTTCAACAGGTGTGACATCAAAACGATGGTCAGTCGCCACGCGTTTTGTGACTCCAGAAACTTTGACGTCCTTCTGGCGNGGCATTACAATCGAGGAGAGTATGGTCATGTACGCGGCAACGCACACAAAATTTCTCGACGCTCGGATTTTTAACCACTGCCTCGCACCTCGGGCGAGCAGACTTACCTTTGTAGGCCAGGTCAGGGGCGACAGCATTCTGTGCACCGCGCGGGGGTTCGGTGAAGGATTCTGCCCTCTGTTTCGCCGCTTCCAACTGCCTACAATGCCTCTTCAAGTCGGCCCACGATTTTATTTCTACATTGACCAAAGGAATGGAGTAAGATGGCCTAATGTTGAACTTGACCAAGCTCAACTTCTCTTCATCGTCTAAAGGTTTGCGCAACCTCGAAAAATAATTTTGCATCAGGCTTAGATAACTACATATGGATTCGTCGGGACCTTGGGTCCTCGAACGAATCTCCTGCAACAAACGATGATCATAGTCGTAGGGCAAATACTCTTCCAGCAACGACGCCTTTAAATCCTCCCAACTATTTAGTTGGTCACGAGTACCTCGGTACCAAAATAGAGCCTCATCTGTGAATAATTCGGCCGCTGAATTGAATAATCTTTCTTTTGCAATATTACGAGATTTACATAATTCTTCAATCCTAACAATGAAATCCTGCACACTATCCTTCCCGTTATATTTTAAATTTAGAGAGTGAACATACGAAGCACGATCACAAGACACTACAGATTTGTTTTTCAATGACTCATCCACGGCCGAACCAGAGGCTTTAGACACATCTTCCTCTGCAGGTTGGAAATCATAACTACTAACGAATGTGTGCGTCATACGGTCGATCCGTTTTAAAAGTGGGATGAGACGCTCCTCCAACTGTTCCCTCAAAGTCCTATCACTCTCCTCTTTAGCTTCAACACGGCTTAACCTATGTATAAAACCCACGGTTTCCTAAAGTCTGCACTCTATTTAGCTTTTTGAGTAATAGGGGCTTCCTATTACACAGCTCCTCAAGCTCGTCTAATTTGGAGGAAATAGTTCTCAGCTCGGCCAGCGCATCTCCCTCGAACTCACTCACCTCATCGCTAGGTATATCCTGAGCCAATTGTCTAATCTGTGCGCGCAACAGCTCTACCGTTTTCTCAGGCACAGCATCTCGTATGGCAACCTCGTAAACCAATTCGTCTTTGTTTAAAATGTTAAACCGGATAGGGCGTTCCTCCCTCATATCGACTTATCAAAATAATAATTTTAGCAAAAAGTAAAGTAAGTTACAATATTCGGCTTATTGTGATATTCGTTACACACTACAGTATGGTTATACTTATTATAAAATTATAACAATAAGAAAGAAAACTTAAGATGACCAACCAATCCGTCACTGAGCAATAGACCAGTGCCGGGGAGAATCTCCACGGACCCAACAACGTCCCTGTTCGGGCGCCATGTAAATANGCCAAACGTTTTATTTGACTACGCAACAACTGTACAGTTCGCTCAGGCACAGCATCACGGATCACAACTTCGTAAGTTAATTCGTCCTTGTTCAAAAGATTGAAACGGATAGGGCGTTCCTCCTTCATATTATTGACTTTACAAAATGAATGTTAAAAAAGTAAATAAGGTACAATATTTTAACTAATATTAGTTAAACACTACACAGCATGATCACACTCAACATATTATCACAACAGCATCAGAAACAAAAAAAATTAAGATGACCAACCAATCCGTCACTGAGCAATAGACCAGTGCCAGGGAGAACCTCCACGGACCCAACAACGTCCCTGTTCGGGCGCCATGTAAATATGAAAATTTGCCGGAGCAAAATAAAAGAATTAAATATTTAAATTGACAACAATTTAATTGTGGGTTAGACACAAATATTTAAAAAGAAAAATTAAGGGATGGGTCGTTGGGCCGTTTGGTTGGTACTGATTAAAAATACTTAAGATTACTAGCGCGCTAGTCGCCACCACTCGGCTCAACCCCCTCCGCACCCGTCGGGCGCAGCAAGCGTCTGGCACTGCGGGACAGCCGGTGCCAAACACCTGATAGCCGGTGCCAACAGAGCAGCCGGTACCATACACCTCCTATTGTACAATAAAAAATTATATTATACAACAGCACAATACATTCATAATAGTAAAAACAATTTAAAAACAATAATCCATCGCTCTCGAGGATGGAGCAAATGTGAACACAGCAAAATCCAACGGTAATTCATTACAATGGTAAATCTATTTAGCAGGTAACATTTTGGTAAAATGTAATCATCGTAATTATTATATCATCTACCTTCACAAAGCGAACTAAAAATAGTTAACACAACAAAATCCATCGATAATACATCACAATGGTAAACTTATTTAGGAATTTACTTTTTGGTAAAATGTAATCATTGTAATTATCACATCATTTACCTTCATAAAGCGAACTAAAAATAGTTAACACAACAAAATCCATCGATAATACATCACAATGGTAAATTTATTTAGGAATTTACTTTTTGGTAAAATGTAATCGTTATGTGGGTAATCTACTTTTTCAAAGTAAACTAAAATAATTGACAAGCTCAATAGAAAACGGAACCAACCTATGAAGTAGGGTAGCCCGTGACCGAGTGCCACGTTTCTAGTAATTCATCCTAACTCAGCGGAGAGGCGAATGAGTTTGAGAAAGAAACCACAACATACCTGCTATGGAGGCAACATCAGCAACATCAACAACAGACAGCAACAGCGCAGAGGCTCGCCACCGAGCACTGCCCAACCACACACAATCTGCGAATAACAACCAGGTGCATTGGTTAACAATGCCGCCAATGCAAACAACAAAATAACAAGAAGAAACTCAAGGTAATCCTTGGAATAGGACCTGCTTACCTTCAGTAACAGAACTCAGCACGTGGCAGTGAGTCCGCAAAATCGGCGAACAGCGGGATTTCGGTGTCCAACCGGAATTCCTTTATTTCAACAACAATAATCTGCGTGCCCTGCCCGTTTGAGTTGGGAATGGCACATTTAGGGCCGACTCAGAATGCCACAACACCACACACTAACGAACTTCCGTCCAAGCGCACGGCCGGTCGAGCAAAAAAAAAGGTCACTCCAAAAAGCGCCGGTCATCACCCGTGACTTGTGGTCCGAATCGAACCCAACAATAACAAACCATAAAAATGTTTCTTCGTTTTTATTTTTTATTTCTTTTTCTAATAAGTTCTATTTGAGTCAACCAGCCTCTTATTGAATAATCTTGATATGAGAACTCACAAAACTGCTCCTCCGATTTAAATTTAATTAATTTATTTAACTTTTAGAAACAGAAGAAACGTCACTCACAGTATTCGGACCGTCTCCCGCGCGTTTCGTTTCGCTCAGAATATGTCAAATTTCTAGAACGTTCCGAACCCATGATCGATCAAGATACATTACAATGTTATTTTAATATAAACATTGAGGAAAATACTAGAAATAGCTAGAATTTAAATTAAAGAGCCTAAATATTAAGTTTTATAAAAATTTAGTGTTGAATATTTAATTTCATTATACATTTCTTCTATACTAAAAGAATGGAACGTAACGCATTGATCTGTCAAACGGAGACATTCAAAAAGTGAGGTTATTTATTGCTCTGTGTACCAAAACAATGTAATTAATTTTAATAGAAGTTAATCAAAACTCAGTGAATCACTAACAATGACACAATCAAGTGACAAAGGAAACACTGCGCACTTTGTAATATGTGACCTTACGGTTCGTTGGAATGTTTGTTTGTGGAAATCGGTAAGTATTCAATCTCGCCAAAAAAAAAAGTGTTACATCGTGTTTAACAGAAATTTAAATATTTTTGCAAAACTCACTCGATTTTATTTTTCAAACGAGAAATGAAAATAAAACTATCATGTAATCATACACTACCTACGCAGTTATCGTTCCGTAGTACGAGTACTGTACCTCTAGTAGGAAAAACTTTCGAGTTCGTTTCGTTGCGTATTCAAAGTGTCATCGAAAAATTTTGTATGAAAAATTAAACAGCGCCCCCTAGGGCGGCTATAATATACTGTTTCATCCATAAATGCTTTTTCGAGAACGATATTCAGTAATACGAAGCTCGTAGAGTCGAGCAGAAAAGCATTTCTCTATATTTTTTCAGCGAAAACACAATTTCCATACATGTGAGCGTTATATCACATTGTTTTCCCCTTCTCAAATTCCATGGCCTCGGGCAAACATCTCGCGATAGAAAAAAGCTGACGACTCAAAAACCCATAAAACGCCCTATCTAAGAAGTTTGACATGTAATATTACCGTATTAGATAACTGCAATACCCTGAAGCTGTAGGACACTTGAAAATATTCTGATCCTTAAAATAATCAGCTTAAGGGGGAAATGTTATGCGAAGACTGTACATGCGATTTTGTTTTGTTTCTTTTATAATACCCTGGAGGTGGATCGTTAATGTTGTTTACAGCATTCGGGATGTTACGGAGTAATCCCAACTAATATTATAAATGCGAAAGTAACTCTGTCTGTCTGTCTGTCTGTCTGTCTGTCTGTCTGTCTGTTACGCTTTCCCGCTTAAACCTCGCAACCGATTTTGATGAAATTTGGCATAGAGATAGTTTGAGTCCCGGGAAAGAACATAGGATAGTTTTTATCCCGGTTTTTGAAACAGGGACGCGCGCGATAAAGTTTTTCTGTGACAGACAAAAATCCACGCGGGCGAAGCCGCGGGCGGAAAGCTAGTAACATTAATAAAATTCCTTGTAAGTATATAAGTAGAGATCTTGGGAGAGACTACACATTCTAAGCATGTATTTGAATTGGTATCTAGGTATCTTAGTGCATTATGTGTAGAGTATACGTATGCTATACTAACTTGAGCCAATCCAATTGTGTTTTAAAGATGATATTTTTACTACATAGGTTCTTATTTAGTGAAAATAACTATTTGAGCCTAGCTCCCAAAAACCTTAAGTAAGGCTGGGTTGCACCATCTTACTTCAACTTTATCGAACGTCAAAAGTCTGTCAAACTCCATACAAAAAACACTGATTATCGTTATAGTTACGGTTAAAGTTAGGTGGTACAACTTCACCTAAGTATGTGCCTATTATGTCTTCTTGACAAATCACAGTCTTGAGAATCTAATTATAATAAATAAACTAAACTCTATTAATGTGTTTTATCATTTTTGTTACAGGTAATTACCCCATTCTGCCTCCTCCACCAAACGCATTAAGTGCGTAAGTCTATTTTTACTACAAACTATTCAGCTTTGAGTTATGACACCATAGATAACGCCATGAGATTGTTTTTGGCACGAATCGCGTCCGCAGCAAAACACAATGGATTTTTGACTGAGTTTGGCGTCAACTACATTCAAATAGGGTTGTGCTATGAATCATTTGCAGTGTTCTATTGGAATATTTTAATAGGACCTTGAAAAAGACAGTGACATCATTATTCCACGTGTTTTGCCAATTGCTATTTCGAATAAAGTCGTTTCGCCGATGACAATAAATTGAAGGGTTGAGTGGACAAAGGTCTTAACTAACAACTAACCTATGCGTGTTTGAAAATGTTAATCTGCTCATACCACATTTAAATCCAGAAATGTATGAATGCTTGTCAGATAACACCTTTGTTAAGGTTTAACACGTAACAAAATTTGCGTGTTTTGAGCTTTAGTCGATTTTATCATCACTTCTTAAAACCTATGTTCATGCAAAAAAGTCGATTCTTCAGTTTTGACAGATAACACCTTTGTCCACTTATCCCTTCAATTTTGTTAATTAATTTTACGACTAGGTACGCTACTTACCGATGCTCACCTGAACAAGTATTCATATTGTTTTTTATAACTTATACGACCAAGACATGCCTATAATAATTTAAATGAATATACGATTTGTCAATTATATTGTGACTTCTGACCATTCGATTGGCGATATCATGTCATATTATTAACTTTATGTCTTGCTTATTCATAATGCTCGAGAATATTTTAATAATTATAAAAATCATTAAAAAGGTCAGACAATATTTAATACCTTAAGAACAAAACTTTAACTCGCGATGAACACTGGTTTAAAATGACATTTCCAAACAAAAGAAAAAGGAAAAGAAAAAAGAGAAAAGGTAGCGGGAAGGCGCTGGATGCAGGCCGCTACCAACCGTGCGATGTGGAAGTCATTGGGGGAGGCCTATGTTCAGCAGTGGACGTCCTGTGGCTGAAATGATGATGATGATGATGATACAAAAGAAAACTTAAACTCGCGATTAACACTGGTTTAAAATGACATTTCCATACAAAAGTAAATTTAAACTAGTGATCAACGCGAGTTTAAGTTTTGTAATGAAGAGGTTAAAGTTTTTATCAATTAAAACTTCTAGTCCATTAAACAGTGACAGCCCTGATCATAAGTCAGCGCCGTGTTATCTCTTCCGCGCCGCTGGCGCCCTCTATTCCCCATGATCAGTTGAACGGTTTTTATATGACATTCCTCGTTTGTTTACACCCAACACCATAACAGAATACAAAAATCGGCGCAGCTTCTTTATGATCTAAAATAGTTTTTATTAAGCAAAATAAGCTAATCATCTAGACATGCGGTAGCGTGTCAAGCCATGTTCAAGAAACAGAACTGGCGATCAGCGACCATCATTTTAGTCAACTGTTGGACCCCAAATAACGTGACAAAGAACGAGCTTCCGCTTTTTTATCTATTCCACTGCCAACTCTCTTCTCTTCTCAAGATCCTCGTTTCATCCATTCCATCTTTACCATCATAATTTCAGCCGCTGGACGTCCACTGCTGGACATTGGCCTCCCCCAATGATTTCTAGTTTGACCGGTTGGTAGCGGCCTGCATCCAGCGCCTTCCTGCTACTTTTATGAGGTCGTCAGTCCGCCTTGTTGGTGGACTTTATAACCCTTGTCATCCATTTATTTGAACTGGCTTCCATTTATCATGTTACCTATTAATTAATTAGGTATTAGAGATGCCCCGCCTAAATTATAGCCTTTTCGGCGAAGTAATCACTTGTCGTAGACAAATTGTCCACTAAATATAATTACATTAGTGTCATGGGACACAATTTTAGCTTGCAAAACTTAAAGTTCATGAGTTATGTATTTACATATCCAAAGCGACAAATAATGGTCATAGGGGACACATTTTCACGAAGTTTGACTGACCAGCAATTAGTGGTCTCATAAACAGCAAACAGCGACATTATACGACCTTTAATAGATAGGTTAGCATTACATGAGCTCACCCGGTCATGTCTAAATGATATAATGTTATTACAAAAAATACACCTACATCAAATTCCAAATGTTTACTCTATTTACATTTTTTCACGCCATCACACAAAAAAAGCTCTTTTTAAACGAAAAAAGTACACCGCGAGTGTTTAAACTGACTTGGAAATATTGAAATACATAAAAATCATCATACTGTAATCACTGTATAAGTGAACTGTAACCTAGAGTCATAGTATAATAATGAGTATTGTATACTAGAGTCAACAAAATACTACAACTTTGCAAAAATAGGTTTATGTAATAATTCGTAAACAGTTCGATATCAAAATACACTTGTAACTGTATAAGATGCACAGTGTATAGCTTGATCTGCAGTCGTTTGAACATCGATCCTTTACTCCCAATGTGCACAAAAATCTTGGCGAATATTATCTCTGGGTCCAAATGTGACCATTATCTACAGACCAGCAGAGCACGCCCCATACTGCACGCTATCCGAAGCATCAGGAACAATGCAAGTAAATTCAGTACTTTCACTAGAGTTTTCTGATTTTTATTATAATATCAGTCATATTTTAGGCTATGTCGCAACTTTTAAGAAAAGAAATATTTTAATAATTGAAAAAAAAAACATTTAAGGACTGTTATAAACATTAACTTCGCACAATAATGATCGTATCTGATTAGATTAAACATTTATTTTACATTCTAAATCCATAAAGTAATGCAGACCACATATAGTTTATTGAAGAGTGTGGATATGACATACATAAGAGTGTATACAACAGGGTAAAAAAACAGGTTGATTACAAAACTTATTGCCTGGATATATTTAATGAAAACAAACAGTACTCACTCATACTTATTTCGGAGTTATATTGTAAATACTTTTCGTCTAGCAACTGACCTACTGCATTCATCTCCACTGCGTATCTTCGGTCCAGTCCATTAACACTGCCTGCACATAATGGCCACCTCCACCTTAAGATGTGTGGCTTCCGAGTGTTTCTTATACACTTGGACTGAAGATACAACAGATTATGTACTTGTACAAGATACAACGGCTAACAAAAACACTGCTCCTTATCAGTAAGATGAATTATAGAGATAAGTTAGTTTGATAGTCATCTTATTTTTTAAAATTTTCATACAAATCTGATTTAATAAATTTTATTTTATATGATAATTTAAAAAAAATGTTGATATCAAATTTCTGACTTTACCATACTATTTAAATGCATAAGTTAACATGGGCTAGTGTCGCTTATAAACCCATTTACCTCACACCCTGTATATTTTCTGTAGACTGAAAAATCTCCGCTAGCATAGTCGTGATAGAAGTTCGCAACATATACCTAATCGAGATAGGTAGTTTAATAAGCTCGTTAATAAAGTATTATTGTTTGAAAAGTTAAAAGAAAAGTCTTTTTGAGTTGCCTGCGTACTGCGTATAGTGACTCATATTACAAACAAACATCAAAACAAAAAATGATGAATGATCAAAGTTTTTGACGTGGAACGATAATAAAACATGCCAACTTGT